AAACACAGAGGGAGGGAATGATGGAGAGAGGGAGAGGTTGAGAGAAGGAGGAGGAGGAGGGCAAACAAGATGGCAGAGGTGGTATAGAGGTGGCAGGAGGGGGACGGTCTGTTTGAAGTCCGAAAGTAATTTTCTAACACGCTAGCTGTGGCACACGTAGCAGAGCAGAGTTGGTGCTCCTGCACACTCCTCGGGCTGTCCACACTCACAGCTTCGAGTGTGCACGTGTGTGGGATTAAGAGGGAGAACGTGCGAGAGAGTGTCAGCTAAAAGGTACTTGGTTCATGAAGCACTTAAGTATCAGTAAAGGGGGGCAGGGAGTGCACCATGAAGCATCTCTGTAGATGCCATAAAGTCATTTTTATCTGAATAGATTACTGTAAATCGGAGGCGTTTCAAGAATTTGGCTTGCAGCAGCTCTAGCCGAAGAGTCGCTTTTAATATATGGCAAAATCGAACCGCACCCCGACCGGCTGGAACAGTTTGCAACTTTAATAATTTTTTTTGTTTTGTTTTTGAAAACACACAAGGAATGCAGCAAGGGAGTAAAGTCTTGTTTCTGTGAATGTAACAAAACTAAACTCGTGCATTTTTGTGATGCAAAATCAAATATTAAACCTTTAAATTAAAAAGAAAACTGAAATGCTTCGTACAGAAAACCTTCCTGCACTGCAAAAACTGTCCATMTTACCAAGTTTTAAAATCTTATATCCAGCCAAAAAGTCTTTTTGATCTTATTTTGAGACTGATTTACTAAACAAGAACTGATTGTGTAAGAATAATAATCTTGTTTTCAGAATGTGAAAGATTATTTGTCTTTTTAGTCTGAACATTTGAATCAAATTAAGTGAAAATTTTCTGGCAATGGAGTAAGAAAATTTTACTTGGTAAGATTCTTGAAATAAGAAAAAAAATTGAGTCAAATCAAGTTTTTAAAGAATCTTATCAAATAAAATTGTATTACTCCATTGGCAGAAATTCACTTAATTTGAGTCAAATTTTCAGACTAACAAGACAAATAATCTCACACATTCTGAAAACAAGATTATTATTCTTACACAATCAGCTCTTGTTTAGTAAATCAGTCTCAAAACAAGATCAAAATGACTTTTGTCTGGTATAAGGTGGACATTTTTTGCAGTGCGTTTACCATATTGAAGCACTACGGTTCAAAAAGGAGATGAAACAGAGTGAGTCACTAAGCTGAGGTCAGTGTATCACTAAAACAGATTAGGCTGAACTTTCATGGCCACAGCTTTATAACCCCCACTACACACACGCACACACACACACCTTCATCCAAGCCCACTGCATCCCAACGGGAAGGTAATCTGGGAAATGCAGCGGTATCAGGTCCTTTCTAAGTTGCCTGAGAAGTCTTGTGAGACTCTCTAGAGATATGAGGCTTTGATATCAGGACCAATTATGTGCTGTGTGCACACACATGTACACACAAACACACGCACGCACAAAGGCACACGCGCGTGTTCGTCAACACCCGTTTTCACGCACACACACACACACATGTACACGCTCTGCTTGGCCTTGGGAGTGCGGTAGAGGGGAAAACAAAGGGAGAATATGATACTGAGGAAACACTGGGCAGGCGGAACATGCTCTGATTTTTATCAGCCAGTTGAGCCGAGCCTGAAAGCCGGAGACGACATGGCGGGAATGATGGAGTGGAGGCCCGACGGGCTGCAGCAGACTGATGGGAGGGCGGTGCACGCAAGCCAGACAAATCTCAAACACGTGCAAAAGTTCACAAACACAAACACTGCACAAATAATCCCTGTTTACGTTTGTCCACATAGCACAAGGGAGGGTCAGGGCCACTCAGAAGAAAAAAAAGACAATTGAGGAGGAAGGGAGTTTTATGTTTCAAAATTAAAATGTAAATACTGACAGACAAAAGTTGCATTGTTGGTAAAAAGGGTGATTTTTCAGAACTTCAGCCAGAGGATGTGAAACCCACTTTGTTCCTGAGCACAGCTGTGTTTGTTTCATTACTTATTATTAATATTATATCCAAGGGCTGAGTGCACTTTTACTGGGTTAACTACAAAATTACTGCATTATTTTACTTGAAGCAGTCTGAGATGTGGTTTATTATTCCCACTTCAGTGGAACTCACAGAACTTGTCTCAGTTTTAAAATATGCATCTCAAACACAGTTTTGCTAACCGCAAAAAAAATGTACCATTTGGCATTTATTTCTTACTCTTGTTAAACCGTACATCACAAAAGCATGACCCTTCTACCAAGGTTACTGTGACTTAGACAGTATGTTACATTCCTAGTTATTAATATTTACACTTTGATCTTGACATTCACACTATATTCTCAAAACATAAAAAAGACCTTCCTTCTCTTTTTTTTCTTCTGAGTGGCCCTATTGCGGTGTTGCAACATAAAGTGTTGTGTGCGCATTACATAAACGCTTACAAACAACGCTCACACACAGACACCTAAAATCTAAGTGATAAACTGTTGTTTCCGGTCTAAGTCACCTCCACTGTAGGATCCCTCAAGATTAAGTTTGGCCTCTGGCTCTGTTAATTGGAGCTTAAAGTCTGGTGTAGCCCCTGGGCAGCGTATGCTGTGTGCAGAGCATGCTGTGTGTGCGTGTGAGTGTGTGAGTGTGCATGCGCCTGCGTATAAATTATGGATGGATGGACCGGCAGGAGAGTGGCCACACAAGCTGCAGCAGCCAGAGTTTTGACAAAGACCAAGCCGGGCCAGAGTAATCACAAACACAACACCACCACATGTCAGAGACAGGTGGCCTGATGGAGGGCCAGAGCAGAGGGCAGGAGACAGAAAGATGACAGGGAGTATTAAAACTGAAGAAAGACCAGGCCGATAATAATGGGACAGCAGGAGGGAGCACTCAGAGTCAGACACATGATCTGAAAAATCCAGATACTAATGGTGGCATAAATGCATTATTTATAGCCAGACATTCTCATTACAGAGATTCATCGTTGTCCTGGTATTATTTTCCACTTAAATCTGACCAACACACCTGCTTAGATTACATCAAAAAAGTTGGTACTGTAGAGACCGGGCTGGTACAAAACAAAACAAATAAAAAATTAAAATGAAATAAAATAAAATAAACAATAAACTACTTACCCAAACCAAAACCAGCACCAGGAAAATAAAGAGTATTTCTAGAAATGTTTAGAACACTTTCATCAAGAAAAAACATATTTAAAATATTCATGCAGGAGCTAAAAGAGTGCTCTCATGCATTAATAAAAGCAAAATCTCAAGTGTGGAAAGAAGAATGAGAGTACTGACAGAATCAGAGAGGGTTATTACATGATGTGCTCCGGCAGAAAACCACTGCCTGTTGATTTTATTTATTCTGTGTCTAACCAGAGCAAAAACACACACTTTTTAGGCTCTGGTACATTTTCAGATATTGACTTTTTTATTTTTTTTATTCGATAACATATCTTTTTACAGACTTGTGAAAAGACATCCACATTTGTGGTGTTTATTGTTTGTGCCAGTTTATGCAAATCAGCGAGTCTTTACTTAGATAACACCTGATTTGCATATTCAGAATTTCCAAACACTTGTGATAAAAAAAATAGATATCTGTGTGTAAATAATCAGCTGTGGAGTTTTATGGTAATTTTAGCCAATTTACATTGCAGAAGTCAGCTTTTAGGTTAAGTTACTTTAGCCACAAAAATAACATTTGTTAAGATATATAATTTATTATTATCATTTCTTATTAAATGTTTTTTCTTGTTACATGAAATGCACGACAAATTAAGCTAAACAAAGATGTGTTTATTGTTTGCAATTAACAATTTGATTTTTTAACAATACACAAATAAACTTAGATAACACCTGATTTGCATATTCAAGTGTTTGTCTATAAATAGCATAAAAGTTGCACTGATATTAACTGGATATCACAGTGATTGTGAATCTGACAAATATGAAAACTGAGCAATTGTTCAGTCATAAACTGACAACGTTCTTGTGAAGCACTTTACAACCTTCAGTCGTGCTCCCAACACAGTCAGAAGTGGAATCATTCACACTGTAGAGGTGTTACCTGGCTCATTTCCATCCTGCAGGTTTATGGTTCTGTGCAACAGAAACTGTACATAAGAAACTGCAAGATGTGGAGTGACAGATTATGTTTTTTTGTCACCTTTGTCTTTTTATGCATTGCACAAATTTCAGCAAATCTTGTATTTTTTTCTGTACATGCATTACACAACCAGAAAGCCCCAGAGCAATGTGATTTAAAAAGATAGTTCAGGTCTTTTAAAATAGAGTTTTGTGAAAAGATCATGAAGAGGTAATATCTTACCTGGTGTAGATAGCTTTTTAATTACTTCTATTGGGAGAAAACAAAGTTCCATTCTGACCAAATTGATGAGCTGACAGCTGGTTCAAGTGAGGCCAAAATCAAAGCGGATTACAGCTGGCTTAAAACTCCAGTCTCAAAAACTTCAGGGCATTTCATGCATTTAGGACAGGTGTATAATAATATGTTTTGTCTTATATATTATAGTATAAAAATATATGAATAAAAAGCTGATCACATAAATCTTTTCTAAGTCTGAGAAAATTGCAAGAAAAAGCTGACACTGATTTTACATCGAGCAAATGTCCGCTTGTCTCCTAACTATAACAAGTAAATGAGGTAACATCTTATTATTTTGCCTATGACATAATCATCATTAGAAAACATGATAATATTTGAGTAGAAGAAGAAATAGCATTTAGATTTCTGTTTTTAAATGAAAGCAAATAAATCATGTTTTGACATTGTTGTTTTAATACTGTAATACTATTAAACTGTGGTGTTTTTGCTCAAGAATAAAATACTGTCAAATTATCTTACCTGCAAAAACCACTAATTAACATTTGAGTTAGTTGAGTTTTTTCCAGGATTATTTTAGATTGCAACATCACCAGATGAATTTCACACCCACACGCGCACTCATTAACTCACACACACAAACACTGACCTGAGGGACATGATCTTGTACGCATCGGGCAGGTAGCACCGCGTGTTCTCCATTTGAGCCGGGTCTGAGTCACAGATCTTGTCATCGGTGCGGCCGTAGTTGGCGCTTTCAATCATGATGACATCCGTGCCAGGGCAGCGCAGTTCGATGGGGTAGGACTCACAGGACAGCTCCCTGCGCACCACTGCCATGGGAATGGGAGCACGGCCATGCACTGGACACACACAGACACACACACACACACACACACACACACACACACTGTTATTTGGTGCTTTGACAACTATTTATCTCTTCCTACAAACCAATGGAAAAAAAAACAAGATATATTAGTAAAGTCATTTTAATTTATGTGCAGTAGAGGCCTAAAGTGTACAAGAATAAATTGTGTTGGACTAAAACTGAATTTGTTCCCCTGTCATCTAAACATAATTATGCACACAGTGCAAAAAGCGAAAACATCACAGAAAATTTATCATGAGGGCATGGCCACTGTCAAAAGTGAACTAAATTGGCGATTACAGCTTTGCAGTTGGTCTTTTCAGACATCCATTCAGGTGAAGGATAATTGCCTGGAAATTTCCACAGTGACAGACAACAGTTGCAGAGATTACTTAAAGACAATAAAAATGAACAATTTACAGAAGTGAAAAATCTGAAGCATAAATCTATTCAACTGAAATAGGAAATGTCAATAAACCCAAAGACACTAAAGCTACTGGTATGCCTGTGCATGCTTCAGGGTAGGGCTCCACTATTAATCAAAAATAAGTTCAACAAAAACTTAATCTCAGTTTTCACATGCATGCAATCTTCTTTCTTAACAATGTTGATTTTCATGCATGTGTCTGTAGTCACATGCTTACTTCCTAACTTTACAATGATTACAGGTGAAAGGTGACCTCACATCATGGGGTAAAGGAACACATTTGTGTCCCCTTTGATCTCAAAATAACTTTATGTTTGTCATTTCCACTTTATTCTTGAAAAATAATCAACTTTTATCTCAACGCTTCAACTGTAAAATCAAAATGGAAAACCATAATACAAATCTTACACTGCAAAACCTGTCCATCTTACCAAGTTTTAAAATCTTATATCCAGCCAAAAAGTCTTTTTGATCTTGTTTTGAGACTGATTTACTAAACAAGAACTGATTGTGTAAGAATAATAATCTTGTTTTCAGAATGTGTAAGATTATTTGTCTTGTTAGTCTGAAAATTTGACTCAAATTAGATTCTTGAACTAAGAAAAAATTGAGTCAAATCAAGTATTTTAAGAATCTTACCAAGTAAAACTTTGTTACTCCACTGGCAGAAAATTTTGACTTAATTTGAGTCAAATTTTCAGATTAACAAGACAAATAATCTTACACATTGTGAAAACAAGATTATTATTCTTACACAATCAGTTCTTGTTTAGTAAATCAGTCTCAAAACAAGATCAAAAAGACTTTTTGGCTGAATATAAGATTTTAAAACTTGGTTAGGTGGACATTTTTTGCAGTGGCTCTGTTGCGTTTTCATGCCTACTTGTGCGTGTGCAGTGTATAATTTGTATTGTCACTCATAACAAATCTTATAATTTGATATGAGTGACTCACACTTTGTTGTACATTAGGAAATCAAAAAAAATATTTTTTTTGTCCTTTAAAAGTTTACCCTTGAATTTTCTAGACAGTATTTATTATTATTTATTACTTGAGTAGAATAACTGTTTGAGAATCATGAGCTTAATTATCTTGGGAAAAACAAACAAAAACCTGTCCATTTAATTTTAGCAACAATTGTGCAGCCCTGTTCTCATTGTCATATAAGATTTAAGATAAAAAGATGTTTCCAAAGTAAATTAGGGTTACAATATAATGACAGTATAAAAGCACTTTGATATTGACAGTGTTGGACTGGATGCTCCAAGGGATTTTACTTGTTGTGGAGTATCTTTGTTATTGAGAGCAGCAGTCCCTGTGAGCATTCGCCTTCTCCCTGGATAGATCGCTTAGCTGAGGTGTTCACATGTGTTTTTCCATCACCTTCCTCCTCGGTAATAATAATGTAGTCTGTGCTTGATTCGATTTGAGGCGTCATATAGTGTGTGTTAACAACAACCTCCTGCTCAACCATCTCCCGTGGAACTTTCTGCCGTACCCGGTGCAATATACATAATATGAATTTTCACTGCCGAATAAATAAACATGTATTAAAACAGCTTTCGAGGCCAAGTAATTGAGATCGCCTGCTGTTTCATTTCAATACCTTTCATCCTGCGAAGACCTTTCAAATTATAGCTCCTACAATTGCACGTACGCCGCATGTATTTGTATGAAGACCTCAACAACAAACAAACGCAGGCCTACAGCATCCCTTAAAAAAAAGGCGAGACACACTTCCCTTCTCCTTGCTTTCCCTGTCACAGTAACCATAGAAACCCTGCCCTCCCTCCCTTGGCTCTTTCATTAGTTAGAGGAGCGTCATGGTTACACATATGCAGCAAAGAATCTGAATGAGCTCAATGACACTCTGCCTGGGCTCAACTTAATGCTGCCCTTCACCACGTCACACACATGCACACAGAGGCGCACATGCATACAAATGCTCTGAGTGATGGAATGTAGAGGTGGAAACGCACAACCATTGTCGATGATAACCGTGTGGTTCTGGTACCTGAGGGCATAACATTGATAATGGCAGGCTCTAGCTTAGAGATAGGGCTGATATATAAGTGACATTTACTGAAAATGTCCTCTTTAATGAACACACACAGGCGCACACACACATAGGTATACCACCTCGGGCCATGATTAGACCTTAAGCACACATTCAGACAGGATGTGTGTCTCAGTAGCGGGTGAAGAATTGATGGGACATCATGGATTTCCGTGGGTGCTTAAGGCACCGGGTCATTATTGTGTTAACGTGTTGGTGTGTAGCGTTTTTCAGTGGCTGCATCGTGGCTCCTTTGTGAGCATGAATATACATTTTTTGGGGGGAAAAAAGGGGTAATTGAGGCGTGCAGAGATCAATGCACAGTTATTGTGAGGCGGCTGTCTAGACTAGCTGTGGATCAGATGTCTTATGGAACTGCCTTGATGGGTTCCCCAGTGGGCACTGTGACACAAACACATTAAAGAAAATACACTGTTTTCAATTATTTTTTTAATATTTATTTTCAAGATCAGAACCACATTTTTGTACTGAATCTGTTGAAGCCAAATCTGATTTTCTGTATAAGTAATAGACGCAATAAACTTTTGTAATAAAGTGTAAGCATCTCTTCAATTTGATTGGTCAGATTGTGCAGAGAGGTTGAATTTGAGTGGTTTCTTAAATAGTATTTTTACCTGCCATGCCTATCCCTAATAATTTCTTGTTACTGGGCATGCTTCTGTATCTGAAATAAAAATAACAACACATTTAAACCCAAAAAAAGAGGTGAAAGAGCACATTGAAATAATAAAATCATCATCAATAATTATGAGGTGCCAGTGTGGAGTCACAGTATCTTTACAAGCTGAACAAAAATTGTCTGGCTGTCACAAGCCTTCCTCTTTCATCTGTCACCTTTAATTTATTTGTTTTTTTTATCAGATACCGTAATAAGTGTCATGTTTAACTTGCCTCCAAAAATTCTCTCTCCTCACGCATTTCACCTTCTAAATAAAACGGTGCCATCAGGCTGCATTTTATGACACCGAGACAACACAAGCGTTCACTCAGGAACATATAAGTGTCCATGTTAGGCTCTACGTCTGTGCCTATATCTCATAAGGTGTGAGCTGTAAGTGCATGTTAATGTGTCTGTCATTACTTGTGTAAGTGGTGACAGAAACTTGGCAACCACGACGAGAACAGACAATCGTATTCAGTCTCTCATTGCCTCGGAGGGGCATGAAACAAAAGGATATTGATTTTTGCATTTGGGCCAAGAACAAGAGAGTGGCAAAAGAATTGGATGGATTGAAAGAAGGAGAATGAGAGGGTGAAAAGGATGAGGAGACAGATTTAAAAGGCGATCTCTCACTTGAACAGCCAAAGCATTTGGCCATTGCTGCTATCTTTAATGCACGCATAAAAAATACTATTTTTTAAGAGCAAAAGATATTTCAGAAGTTTTCAACATTGCATATTTTTTTAAGTTTAAAGAAAAAAATATAGTGGGAGCTGAAAATAACTATGACATTTTGTGAAAAAGAATGTTTCTTTTTAAGCATCTTCCGTGATTTTAGACGAACACAGCTGGACTCCAGTAAAAATGTCCAACAACAGAAATAGAATGTGACAAAGTTCAGCTGTGAGCGCTCCAACAGTATGTCTAAATAAACCACCTCTATTTTCTCCAGATCCTCTTTAAAGCTCAAAGCTTAACAACAATTTTATGAGTCAAACTGCTGTGTTTTTGATATTTCTCATATATTTAACAAAAGAAATGTGAACAAACTCTTTTTGACGGATTTTTTTTGTGTGACAGTACACAAATGCTCATTAATAACAGGGTGAAATGATTTGTAAATCTAGGGGCACATATAAGATTTTTTTCTTCTCTCTGCTGCCTTTCATTTCATTGTATTTGTATTTTCTTTTATTTTTATTGTACATAGAATTCAATCTGTTTTTAAGAAATTAATAAAGTTTGAAACAAAAATAAATAAATAAAATCTGATAAACTGAAATTGAAGTATTTATAGGCATGTTTCTGAGCCCAATCAGTGATTCCAGAACAGAATCAGTTCTGTATTTAATGCTGTGTCACCTGAGGGCATGAAGATCCAAGTTATCCACTGACTTCCAGCCTTGTCTTTAGCACACAGGTGATTTATTTATCTTGATTTCTGGTGAAGATTTTATGAACTGTAAATGATAGGATAGTCAAAGACTTCCAATTTTTATTTATTATTTTTTATTAAGTACTACTCTAATAAAGTTCCACTATTTTTGACACTATTTTTCGCAGATTCAGCCTCTCTAAAAGGTTTGATTGTAGACGAGCTCGCAGATTCTGTCCTCCTGCTCTTCCTGTTTTCCAGAATTCTACTCACACAGAGTGTGACAAGTTACTAAAAGCAGCAAAGATCAGCTAAGCCCACCCACTCATCCCCACACATCTAGCACTGTGACATTGATTTTGGAACAAGACAGTCCTCTGACACCCGTCAGGTACTGGACTGCGAATGAACAAAAAAAGTTACATAAAACTTTGCAGGACTTTTAAAATGCACTGGACATGTTCTATTTTCTTCTTAAACATTTCTGTTTTACCAAAATAGAGAGATGAGCAATTAAAGCAATGAAAAATTGGCTTAGAAACAAAATAAAACTGAATGTACTAAAAGGCTTTAAGCTAAAATACTGCTTGAAACACATGCAGAAAATGCAGTAGTGTGGTGTGAATAAGGTTATCAAAAATATTTGAAAATTTCATGTTTTGGACAGGTATATTGTTTTACTGCATTTTTAACATAACCAGCCTTCTTTTTTTTTTAATTGACCATATATAAATATCAGAGGTGCAACAATACATAGAACCATATCGAACCGTTCAATATAGAGCTTTAGGTTCAATACACACTTGTATCGAACAATACATATTTTTAAAATTTATTTTATCAACTTGTCTTCCGAAGATGCTCTGTGGTGAAGGATCAGTGGATCTGTGTTCGACTACTCCACCTAGGCTGCATTGCCGAGTGCAGATCCACTGAGAAACTTGCTGTTTCAGCAACATTTAATTTAAAAACTGTACTTTTGAGGTTAAACAAATGATCATAATTAATTTCAATAAATTACAAGTTGAAAAGGGCATGGAAGTTTCTATTTTTTCTATCAAAAATATCGAACCGTGAGATTTAAGTATTGAACCGAAATTGTGAGCTTTCTTTATCGTTGCACCCCTAAAAAATATACATATAAACCAAGCTCAAAACATGCATTTTCTCTTTTTTTATTGTTTTAAATGCTCTGTCTTCATGACACTGTGATAATAACAAAGAAATAAAAGCTTGGTGGAAAAGATCAAGTACATACTTTTGTATATCCTCAAGCTTAACAGTCTTTGTTTCAGCTAAGCCTTGCTGAGTGTAAACACAATAACACAATCATTTGCATATGTCAGCCTATTCTTTAGCCAATGATGCAAATACGTACCTGTGACTGAAACTGATCTCTCAATGCTAAAAGCAAAGCTTTCCGTGTTTGTGTGCTGAAGGGGCTGCCTGCTTGCGAGCACTCCCCATGTGGGCCCGGGAGAGTGCCCATGTGGGCGCAGAGTATTTCAGCATTTAAAGGATTTCATCTGTGTGGCAGCAGGCATGTGAAGAAGTACACAGTGGCAAAGTGTGATTGACGGCAGCTATTAATGGGATTAAATCCAAGTAGGCCATCGCTTTCTTTTTGAAGTCTTCGAAGCTCAATGTCAGAGAGGCGAGGCAGAGACATACAGATGACCTGCTGGGGATTCATTTGGACTCTGCATGTGAACCCAGACTGTGTGTGTGTGTGTGCTGTATGTGTGTGTGTGTGCTGTTATGTGTGTGCGCTTGGGAACAGTAACAGCAGATTTACTACATAAAAATGAAAAAGTGTGTTAGTGTTGTCTTGGTTATGTGGCTGCCAATTCTAGTGCATCACTGAGGGTGTGGAGGAGGATGAGGAGTCGAAGCTGAGTAATGAAATACCTGATTTGATTTCGTATTTTGAAACAAATTGTTTTCTTCTTCATTTTTAAATAAGAGTTATGAAGCAGGAAATTAAAACAACCGTTCAAGTAGCCTAATAAAAAAGACTTTAAGTGGGATCCTGTAGAAATGTTGTGAACGTCATATCTTACGTTGTAGATAGCTCTTTGAACAATACCAAGTTGGAAAAAACAGTTTAAATTTTGCCAGGCTGATGAGCTAAGGGCTAGTCTGAGTGGGGATCTGAATAGATTATCATGATTCATGTAAACTTTCCTTCATTGTCAGTTTTGCATGACAGTTATTCTGGCAGAATCTTTCTTTCTTTCTTTCTTTCTTTCTTTCTTTCTTTCTTTCTTTCTTTCTTTCTTTCTTTCTTTCTTTCTTTCTTTCTTTCTTTCTTTTTGTTGCCCAATGTTTCCTACAGTGCACAAGAAATGCTATGGCTAGCTGCTACACTTGCACTTGCAAATAACTGTAAATGTTTATTTAAATGCAGTAATTTTATAATAAAATACTGGAAGCATTGTGATGGGTAATAAGATATTGTTTGCATGAACTCCTATAAAACTGTTAAGACTGTTTGAAGACCTTACTTAGACTAGCCATTAGCTTGTCGATTCAGTCAGATTTAAACAATTTCTTTAAACTGAGGCAGTTCAAAAAGCTATCTATGACAAGTACTGTACAAAACCTTTCCACAAAAATGTCTGTTTCTTGTATATGAGAAAAGCATTTTCTGCCAGGCCTATAGCAGCACAAATTTAAGCTGTAAAACAACAGAACTGATAAATGTCAGAGTTCATCAGTCATCATTCATCATTCCTAATTAAATGAAATGACTCTTTTGAAGAGAAAGGAGCAGGGATTTTTGTCTCTTACCAATGGCAATGGGGGCAATCAAGGCTGAGATGAAGAGCAGACATCTGACCCACATGACGTCTGACTTGGACCTGGAAGTGGATGAGGAGGTACTTCCTGCTGAGCCCAGACTCTTGTGTACAGAGCTGTTTCTCTCCCAGCTCGGTGTTTCCGACACCATACAGGCCTGCAGATGGACACACAGAGAGGATTTGCTGTCATCGTATTTAAAGATGTGTTGACGTTGGACTGGACATTTTACATGTAGAAGTTGCAGTAAATAGTGATTTAAGGCTTCCCCCTTTGCACAAAAATAATTAATATTTACAGGACAATTTATAGAGCAAACCTTTTTATGAAGATGCAGAATACATAGTTATTTTTAAAATGATCTACTTTGTGTTTCCTCAGACCAGCACTTGGCAGGCTGATAGAATTAAACACCTTTTCTCAAACTGATGTTTAACATTATCTACTGCAACTAAGATATTCTTTGTTTAAACCCTTTCCACAGCATCCCTACATCAAACAATCTGAGTTATCTATTAGGATTAAAGATTAATTGAACTTGCTGTAACCAATTCCCAATGATTCAAAAACTGTTCTGACTTTTGCAACAATCAGAGAAGCAGCACCGACTGAACCACCGTGCTACACAAGAACTAGACAATCTGTACAAATGCATATTTTACAAGACAACAGACCATATGCCAGATAATCCATAGACAACAAATCTGTGTGAGAAAACTAAATGCTAAATACTGATGTTTGCATGACAATTCTTCTATCTGCATCAGGATTCACTTCACTTGGTATTCTACATCACCATCAAAGTGTGAAATACATTGATGTCCCAATCTAATTGTTCATTTCATGCTCCATCAGCAATAAACAATTAGAATATGATGGTCTCTGAGATACGCTGTAACAGTGACAGACTGGTGAGCCTTGTTTCCTCTTCTTGTGTTTTTTTTTCATTCTCTCCTGAACAGATTAACCAGACCAGCATTGCTCAATGATTGGCTCACTCACCCACTTGCTCAGCCAACAAGTGACTCAATTACTTTCTATCTGCACCCTCGAAGTCACCATTTTTAATCACGAGGAGTGGGCTATTTACACATTTCCTCTCTAAACAAAAAAGCATTGAATTTATTTATTTTATTTTTTTAAGTATGCAGCAGGGTCGCAGAGTTTTCATGTCATGAACCTGGTTATTTTTCAACTAAACATCATTTTTCAGGGACATTAGTTCAAAGGTAACATAAGCTCTATTTTGTGCCTAAATACTCTTGGTTCTCAAGGGAACTTGGACCCGGCTTCATGTAAACAGGCTTGTCAAGTTGTGTGTGTGTGTGTGTGTGTGTGTGTGTGTGTGTGTGTGTGTGTGTGT